TTTTATTAAAAATCTGCAGATTTATGCAGAATTATTTTGGGAATAATGTAACTAAATACGTTAATGATAAATAAAATACAAAATTTTCGCTTTTTATTTATTGTTTACTATGCAAATCCATCTAGATTCACTTATTTAGTAAACAAAGAAAGACTTGCATTTAATATATCACCTAAAAGACAGAAAATATAACTTTACAAACTATATTGTAAATAAATCATATGAACATTTTACTATTGGTCAATAATATTATTAAAATAATAATAAAAAATGGAATAAATATAAATCTACACATATTTACACAAGTAAATAAATAGACTCATAATGGGCTTAAAATCTGCACGCACAGATTCTCTGTGGGCTTGCTCAGGACCATATTTTACTGAGTGTTAACTGTTTTACAATTTCAGTACTGGTTTGTACCAAAATTGCAGTATCGGGACAACACTAGCTTGTTCCTGTCATTTTTCTGATGATTAATACAATAATCTACCCTGCAATGCAGGATTCATCAGTTGTTTGTTATTAAAGGAAGTCACAGCAAAGACTATTAATATATAGGAGTTTGTCACTCTAAGTGCTTACTCACACTAGGTACAGTTGCCTTGAACCGTGCCAAAGCATGATTGTCCTCCCCCCTCTCTCCTCCAACAGCCTGCACTCACACTGCTTTTTGCCTTTCTAACCAGAGCACGCTTTTGTCATCGATGATACAACTGTTCAGTTTAACAGGAAGAGAAGTCATTTGAGGTGCAGTGACTCGCAGACAAATATTTTGCTGAACAACTTTTGACGCTCATAAATTCATAAAAGTCCAGGTACTGCAGGTATTGGGAGGTTTGCTGAAGGTTCAGCAAGATGTTTCCATCCTAAATAAACTACGACAGTTTGCGTTCATTGAAATGTAAGAATGATTAATAAATCATATGAAACAGTACCTTAAAAGTGATGTTGCGTCTTCAGTTTTGCGCTCAGGCACGCTTTGCATTCACACTTCAAGCACCGCACCAATGCCCAACTAAACTGTGCTTTGGCACACCCCTTCCAATCAGGCCAGGACCGGCCAACTAAACCGCGCCTGGGCCAAAGTCGGAGTACTCACACTTGTCAAATGAACTGTGAAACGTTCCTGAGCACAGTTAGCATAGCTTAGTTTGAGTGTACCCTAAATTCATATGGACAAGTTTCTTCTTCCTCCAGATCACAAGTGTGATTAAAATGGTTGCCTCCTTGTTTGCTTTAGATTGCCAACAAATATGTATTTAATTGTGTGTTATAACTTGTAATTGATCCGTGCAGCTTGCACTCTATCTCTCTGGATAACTCTTTCTTGGAAAATGCAAAACATGCCGCTTTGCGTACCGATTTCAATGCATTTTTGAGCTTTATTACTTAATGTATGGGATTGTTATTACTTGGGGTTACAGTTAAGAATGGAGTTATTTGCTGTTGTTTAATTGCATTGCTTTAGGGCACTCCTGCATTGGGCTCACACATATGCAAGTCAATAGTTACAGGTTTCTAGGTTTTTTAAAAATAAATTGTGTGTCCAACAAATAAAAGCAACAACAGCTTTGGAACCAGTAGAGGGAAAGTAAATAAAGACAATTTTCAGTTTAGTTTGAACTATATTCTCTTAAGTTCAGTGCAATCTGTGTATTGTATTATATTGCAATATATTATATGCATTTTGATTACAATTAGCTTGAATTAAGTACATTTTTCTGAGTTCATATATTCAGTAACTCTAAATAATACAGAACATTTACAAACATTACAAATGTGTTTTTGTGTCCCTCGCTTCACAGCGCATCCTTAAAATTCATTAGTATTCAGAATAGAAAAATGAATTAAAATAGCTTTGTTAAACACTCTAAAATCATAATTTATTACAAACATGAAGCATAAAGACATTCATTTAAACCAAAAGTGAATGGCAGCGTGTGGGAAATGAGCTTTACAAATACTCATTCAGCACCAACACAGATGTGTGAGCAGAGCCGCTTGCTTGACATTAATTGCATTATATAAGTCACTTTGAAATGTGTCACATCACGTTTCCGATAAAAATGCATCTTGTATTCTGTGAAATGAAATGAGCAAATCAAATCTTTGTGAACTAAATTGAATTTTACACTGAGTCAAATCGTTCTAAATAAGCAAAGATCTTCCCTTAAATCGAATCAGAATAACGAGAAACATGCAAAGTTGTACGTTGCATTGATTCGCTGTTAACAACCCATGTATAATTTTCTGTTGGCTTTCGTTTTTCTCTTTATTTGATTTGTTTGTTTGTATGCATGTCTCTGTGCCTGTAACATCAACTTTTCCTCCCCTCTGTCTCTCGCTCATTAGAGAAGCCTGTGTGTGTCATGAGCTATGGCATTTACTTTTCCGTTTGAATTTAGCTGATTTTTCTAAGCCCATCGGCAACTCACTTCACTTTAATGAGTTTAAGAATAGACATGACCTCTTATCGCATGTCATTCTGCTTACCGAGTAAATGTTTCTTGATTTAACATTTTGCACTAGACTGCCTGACAAAAGCCTTGTTGCCTATCTAAATTTTAGGAACAACAAATAATAACTTTAATAATGACTTCTAGTTGATCATTTGGTATCAGAAGTGGCTTATACGAAAGGCCAAGTCCTCTATAGATTACGATTATTCTACCAAAATACAATATGATCATGCCTTGATTTTTAATTATTTATTTAAGACAGTAAGGTCTGACTTTGCCTAGACAAAAGTCTTTGTCACCTAACAGAAATAATGTGCAGTATAGAATATAAAGTCATAGTGCAGTGAAAAAAGAATATTATGTATGATTCCCATGAGCTTGGAGGACTGCATCCACGCATCTCTGCAATGACTCAGACAACTTATTAATAAAGTCATCTGGAAAGGCAAAGAAAGCGTTCTTGCAGGACTCCCAGAGTTCATCAAGATTTTTTGGATTCCTCTTCAACGCCTCCTCCTTCATCTTACCCCAGACATGCTCAATAAAGTTCATTTCTGGTGACTAGGCTGGTCAATCCTGGTGCACCTTGATCTTCTTTGCTTTCAGGAACTTTGATGTGGAAGCTGAAGTATGAGAAGGAGCGCTATCCTGCTAAAGAGTTTGCCCTCTCCTGTGGTTTGTAATGTAATGGGAAGCACAAATGTCTTGATACCTCAGGCTGTTGGTGTTGCCATAAAATCTGCAGATCTCTCAAACCCCCCTTATTTAAGAGAAGGATATTTTGATTTCAAAGTGGCAATTGTTGGGGCAGTGTGAAAATGACAAATTTCTTCACAGCATTCTAAATACAATGGGCAATTTGTTTGCTAGTGTTTGTTGGCATTTATCTGTGCAGTGTGAATTGGCCCTAAAGTCTGTGTGAATTGATAGTCGCTGACACTTTTATTTCAGTATGTTGATGTACTTCTGGAACTGAAATGGAATATTTAGTAGGGGGCAGGGCTTTCTTTTTGCACATTATTTTCTCATAGCAAACATTATGGTATGTTACAAGGATATTGGAAATTGAGTTGCTATGGAAGCTATCCTTGATGTAAAAGGTATACAGTTGCTATACAGTTGATATACGGTTGCTATCCTAGATATACAAGGATATTGATAAACAGTTGTTATGAAAGCTCTCAGGTTGATTTCAGCAGAAGGACCACCACTCCAAAGGCGGCGGCAAATGGTCAGACTTTGATTGAAGATTAGCTAAACACTTTTCAGTGGATCGACCTTCACTGATTAATGTTTCATCTTAAGAATAACAGAGGGAGCTAGCAAAATAAACATTGTATGTTTTGATTTCATACAGACTTCAAGGTGTGCAGTAATTTTCAGGGAAACACACAGCTCAAGTAGGTCCAGGAAGACCTTGACCGCATTACAGTTCCATATTACTACAGCCAATAATTTTCAGCTATTGCACAGTGTAAGGGGCTATTCACATTTGGTGTCTTAGGCGCATGTAAGTTTGTTATTTCCAGTGATGGCTGACAATATTTCCATATTGAGAGTGACGCACGTGGCACGGAAGTGGCGCAACATGCTCACATGTCGCATGTTCAAACACAGAACACCCAAACTCTGCTGTGCTTTTTAATTTTCTCTATAAATAAAATTTGTATCAGAGCTGCAGCAATTTTTTGTCAACTTGCCATCCTCTGAGAGAATTGTTGATGTTGCCTAGCAGTGACAGATGACATGGGAGTGCGAGTGCAAAGCGTGTTGATAATGGTGAAGGAAGTGATTTATTTTCCACACATAAAATCAAAGGTAAAAATAGCCAGATGAAAAACGTAGTATTTGGCCCAGATTTAAAAATTTGATAAGTGGGCCATTTGAGTTTGGCCAGTTTTGACCCACATTTAAAATACACTAAAATCATTTTTGAGTAAAGAAAAAAATTCTACCAATCAGGTCACTTTGAGAAAAAGCGTGCCCATAGTGTGCCTAAAGCGCATCACTCCATGGGTTTATCAATTTCATTGCAATCGTGACACACCAACCTATCTGGCCCAGTTCAGGCCCAGTTATGAGTTATTAACTTGGCTGAGACTTGGCCCAGATATGGTCTGTGTTTGGCCCTTGTCTGGAAGCCAGATTTGGTCCAGTCATGTACCGTAATTCACTGCAGCATTGGGGGCAAAGCAAAACCTGATTGTGTGGGCCAGAGCTGGGCCAGAGAAATTTTGCTATGTGGGTCTATATTGGAATAATTGACTTCTGTCGATTGACTTATTTTTTTATTTTCAGCACACCTAGATGTGATTTGTTTTTCAAATAATTCAATGACCTGTCATCTATTATACCCTCTTTAATCTACTCTGAAATGTGTTCAACACGTAGATGAAATGTATTTTTATTAAACCTATTCCCAATAAATATCATTAACATCAACACTGAAGCAGAGAGTTTTGCCTTAGGCTGTTTCTTTCTTTCAGTTATTTGTTTATCAGCCAGTAACATCAGCTCTGTGCATCTCTGTCTCATTAGAGAAGCCTGTATCAGTGGAGCTGAGCTGCGGTGCTGGCCCGGTTCATGTGGTTTTGGAGCCTGATCAACCTCTGCTGCTGGACTGCCATCTGGGGGCCAGTGAGCCCCCGCTCAACGTGACCTGGCTGCGGGATGGAGTTGTCCTCTCTGAGAGCCAGACCATCCGGCCTCTGCCCAACGGCTCCCTGCTTATCTCGGCCTTCTCCGCGAATGGCCCGGCTCCAGCGGGTGTGGAGGGCGGATACAGATGTCTGAGTAGCAGCTCCGCAGGGGCTCTGACCAGCCGGACCCTCAGCCTGCATCTCGCCAGTGAGTATAGCGGCACTCATTTACCTCCAGTACACAGCACATGAGGTTCTGAGAGATCATTTCATGAGGCCGCTTCATTAGGCTGGTTATTGGTTGTGTGCTTTGCTTAAGTTTGCATCATCTGATCTGAAAACATCATATTGTTGTTATTATCTGCACACAAGGCTAACAAGTAGCTTTTTGACAAACTGGCCAATTGCTGGTGATGTAAACATATTAATATCTATATTTAAATATGTACTTATACTTTTTGTGTTGGGGTAACGTGTTATAAGCAACACGCGTTAAGTAATAATATTACTTTTCCAAAGTAACGAGCAAAGTAACACATTACTTTTAATAATAAGTAATATTATTTGAGTTACTTGTTTTAGGGGGTTTTCACCTTTAATTTGGATAGGACACTGGAGGTTACAGACAGGAAAGTATTGGGAGCAGAGAGAGAGGAAGGATTGCCAAAGGACCTCGAGCCGGTAATCGAATTCGGGTCGCCATGAGCACCATGGTGCTATAAGTCAGCTCATTTAACCACCAGGCTATTGGTGTATATGTATAAAAAATGTACCACGAGTTACTTTTTACCTTGCTTAATTAACTTTTACAAAATATATTGCAGAATAAAAATTACCCTAGGTTGAATCACACACTCAATGAGAAAGCATGTTGCGAGGGAACAGACAGTCGGCTCTCACTCATAATCATCTGGTCTCCTTTTTCACAGCAGACGAGTCGGTGTACTGTTCTAGTAATTGAATAACTCCAGGATATGGGTTTATTTCGACTCAGAGGTGGTATCCGGTATGTTAGTACTTACTGAAACCGCTTTATGACAACTCTATTTTATTTAAAATAAAGGTGTAGTCTATATACAGTAGGTGGTTGTTAAATGCAGAGCTTCTCTATAAAAAAGGAAAAGTAACGCAAAAGTAACTCAAAAGTAATATAACGCATTACTTTCCATAAAAAATAACTAAATAACTCAATTAGTTGCTTTTTTAGGGGAGTAACTCCATATTGTAATGCATTACTTTAAATAGTAACTTTGCCTAACACTGCTTATGTTGAACTAAAAGAATTTTATTATAAGAATTAATATTTTAAAAACAACAACAATAATAATATTGTTCTTACAAAACTATTGTTTGTGGTTTTTTAGAATTCCTTTTTTACATTAAACAATGCTGGAAGGCCATCCGCTGTGTTAAACATTTGCTGGAATAGTAGGCAGTTCATTCCGCTGTGGCATCCTACGAAATGTAGACTAAGATAAAGGAAAATGAATGAAGGAATTATGAACCTCCAAATAATTTTTTTGGAGACATTAAGCAATATACAGCATATAAGCTGAAAACAGGGACTCTGTAATAGCATTAGGAAATTAGCAAATAGTTTTTTTTTTTAATAAGTAAATTTAGAGACAATTTTGTGAAAGTAAAGTATACCCAGATCATCCTTTGTCTTATTCTGTGCCACATTCCTCTTGTTGGCTGTGTTTGCTCTGCTGGGTATGAGTTTGTTTCTCACCTGGTTTGCACAAGGACTCAATTGTGCTCCATGATGAGTTTTGAGGAGGCAAAGAGATCAAGCTTCATCCCCTTTATCCCTTTACCTTTCTCTCTCTCTTTCTCTCTCCCTGTGTTAAAGCAGCCCAATAGACGATAAAGACCATTTCCTTTGCTCATTATGTATCTCATTGGCCGTGACTCTGTCTTCCTTCATTATTTCTGTTCATTCAATTTTGCTTTATTGCTTTTGTGTAGATAGTAATGATGGCTACCCTCTCGGCTGCAGGCACTGACGGGCATTGAAAGAGCATGTCATGTTAGTGTCACATAAAAAAGTAGCATATTCACAAAATTATCCGTCATGATTTTCCTTTTTTGTTGTTTTATTTTATTTGCATTAATGATGGGAAATACATGCTCCTTATTGTTGTGGAAAATATCATCCTTCATTTAGCCATGACTCGAACCAGTGACCTTCTTGCTGTGGGGCGACAGCGCTAACCATTGAGCCACCGTGTCACCTGAAACATCATCATATTAGTCTTTTTACTTATTATTATTATTATTATTTATAATCATCATTGTTGTTGTTTTTTACTTTTGAATTGTATATTTAATTATTATTAATTTCCTCTAGTTTAATTATTTTGTTGCATTGTCTTTTTAAACATTGTCATTAATGATATGTTGACTGTTATTGATGACAAAACATTAAAAATATTTTTATTTACCTTTTTGTTGCTATTTCAGAAATGTTGTTTTTTGCATAATTAACATCTATAACATTCAGTCAGTCATTTATTATATATTTGTTTTTAATTAATTTATTTTAATTTAGTTAATTATATTTTATTATTATTATTATTATTATTATTATTATTATTATTATTATTATTAGTAGTAGTAGTAGTAGTAGTAGCAGTAGCATATAATTACAATATATTCATACACTGTAAAAAATGAAATGACAACTTTTTTGCATTTTATTAAGTTAATCAGGTTTCAACTAAATTTTTTAGGTTATACAATTTTTAACTTAGGGCGACGCAGTAGCGCAGTAGGTAGTGCTGTCACCTCACAGCAAGAAGGTCGCTGGTTCGAGCCTCGGCTGGGCCAGTTGGCGTTTCTGTGTGGAGATTGCATGTTTTCCCAGCATTCGCGTGAGTTTCCTTCTATTCCTTTCTTCTATTCCTTCGTGGGTTTATGCGCTATAGGTCAATTGGGGAAGCTAAATTGTCCGTAGTGTATGAGTGTGAATGCTAGTGTGTTGCTTCGTAAAACATATGCTGGATAAGTTGGCGGTTCATTCCACTGTGGCGACTCCTAATTAAAAAAGGTACTAAGCCGAAAAGAAAATGAATTAATGATTACGTTTTTAGTTTGATTGATGTAAGTTGAGATCACTAGAACAGTTTTAGCAGCAATAATATAGTGTACTTATTATTTTATTAGATATATAATATTTAACAAAGTATTTATAAAATGACTTGTATATTATTGATCCCAATTTTTATTTTTTCTTCATAAAAGGACACTTTAATTAATTTACATTTTTAAATATTAAATGTCCTATTATTATATTAAAAGTGTTATCATTGGTGATTCAGTTCTCACTGTGGCCAGAAACTGTCATGTTAGTCTAAGACAGATAGATGCCCAGATTTACTGTAGTTGCTCTATATTTTGCCACAGTATTTTTGCGATTGGCTAAGGAAGATTTGCGATGTGTAAAGCAGGTAGAGACAGCACAGGGATTGGATTGGAGAGACTGTGTTTCCTCCATCTGAGGAATCAGTGCAGTGAAGCTCTCCGGCAGGGGACTGGTGCGAGGGACGTGCTTTTGTAATTTAGCTGGTGATCTGTCATCTGCATGACTGCAGCGTGTCTCAGCAGCAGACACACACTTACAGTTATCAGCATAATTATCTTATTCATTATTACTCACTCTGTGCTGACAGCGGCAGAGGAAGATCCTCGTTTAAGGCAAGACACTGAAGGTGAATAATAATTAATAATAATCATTCCTTACATTTATATAGCGCTTTTCAGGGCACTCAAAGCGCTTTACACAGTGGGGGGAATCTCCTCATCCACCACCAGTGTGCAGCATCCACCTGGATGACGCGACAGCAGCCATTTTGCGCCAAACCGCACACCACACACTAGCTGATTGGTGGAGAGGAGACAGTGATGCAGCCAATTGAATATGGGGATGGTTAGGAGGCCATGATGGACAAAGGCCAGTGGGCAGATTTGGCCAGGATACCGGGCTTAAACCCCTACTCTTTTCGAAGGACATCCTGGGATTTTTAACAACCACAGAGAGTCAGGACCTCGGTTTAACATCGCATCCGAAAGACGGAGCTCACTGAGCAGTATAGCGTCCCCGTCACTATACTGGGGCATTAGGACCCACACAGACCGCAGGTTGGGCGCCCCCTGCTGGCCTCATTAACACCACTTCCGGCAGCAACCTAGCTTTCCCATGTGGTCTCCCATCCAGGTACTGACCGGGCGCAGCCCTGCTTAGCTTCAGTGGGCGACCATGTGAGAGTTGCAGAGAGCTAGCTGCAGGCATAGCTAGCTGCCGGGAATAAGGGTAAAAAAATATATATAAACATTTTTATGTTGATACATTTTTTTAGATGTCAAATGATATATATATAAGCTGAACACAGTAGGGACCCAGTTCTTTTATTTAAAAAATTTATTATGAAATTTGTTTATTTGTTGGTAATTAAAAATGTTTTTGTGAGTACATTTTGTAAAAGGTAAAGTATACCTAGATAAGCAGTTTTTTTTTTTTTTGTCTCGTTCTGTGCCACATTCCTCTTGTTGGCTGAGTTTGCACTGCTGGATGTGTGTATTTAGGGTAAAAAATATATAGACCATTTCAATGTGGTGGTGTCACCGGCCCATGAACATTACCTGCTTGTTGTCAAACTATTTTTTAACTGCAACAAGAGGCAATTTCATCATATCTTAACGTTAAAACAGCTATCATAACATTATTTATCAGTATGTGGACCTTTGGATTCTTGGAAGCTTTGGAAATTAAAAATGTCACTCAGAAAATACATTAGGACCATTGTTATTGTCTACATCCCTTGAAATGGTCTACAAACAGTTTTATCTCCATACTTCCACAGTTCATTGATTACATAAGAGTCGCAAACATTTTATATATTAAGTTTATTAAAATGTTTTCTAAAATGTGCAAAATGTGGAATGTTGTTGTTTGATTAAATATGCATTTATCTGCATAAACAGTTGACATTAAAATATGAGCCGTCCTGCTAAATGTGTCATTTTTTTTGAAATATTTACCAAGTGATGTTTAACAGGCCAGTGAAATTTTCAGAGTATTTCCTATAATCTTTTACTCTTCTGGGGAAAGCCTTATTTCTTTTACTTTGGCTGGCATAAAAGCAGATTTAGTTTAAAAAAAAAATAGTTTAAGGTCAATAATATTAATATACATTTTTGATTGCCCACAGGGCTATTCAATTAGTTTATCATGGGGCCCAGTTCACAAAAAGCATCCCAAATGAGGGGCCGGAGAGAAATGACTTGTGGGGACGCAAGAGCCCATATTTTGTATTTTTGCTCTTTAAGACACCCCATTGGCTTTTTTTTTACATTAAAATGTTAATGTGTTGTATTTTGAAACTACATAACATTGTGCACTGTATAATATATATATATTTTTTTTTACAAGCACATTCAAATGTATTTCTAAGGTAGCATATCCAAATCTACAATTATTTAGAAACTCATTTACAGCAAATGAAGCCTAAGTGCGCATAACAAAATATGCAGTCATTGTACAGTTAACATACAGGCTTAGAATAATTTTCTACTATACTGTTCCTAAAGTATGTGTAAGATTTTTAATTTACATTTTTTTGTTTTGTTTTTAAGGACAGCAGTATCTCCAGCAAAAAAGATATCCAAATAAGCTGTTTTAAATTGTATAGAAATCAGTGTTTTTGAAACAAACAAGTCTACGATCCATTTTTATTATTTAGCCTGTTTACATGTTTACTGCTCCAAAATATTTTAAATGTTTCTCAAAATAAAATACATTGTGTTCCAAGGGGAAAAACAGTTTTAGTTTATTTACCCAGACATTTAAAAAGAAAATATTTTAGAGCTGTACTCGCAATTCTGTGAAACTGTGAAACCGTGATATTTTTATCCAAGGTTATCATACAGTCAGAATCTTATACGGGCCCATGCCTAGTACACAATCCCTTCTTAAAATGATGTAAAAACTCAGCGTACATAAATAAAACTGTAAAGTTTAATGTATGTAATTGCTGCTGAAGTGGAGATTTAGGGCAGGAAAAATGTTTTTGTGTTGAGAAACCGGCCTTTAAAAATCTGTAGATTGATTAAGCGTGACCAAAAGAAATGCTTAAAAGAGTATTTTGGATATGCTCTTTACGTGACACATAAAATAACTTAATAAATAGCCTAAACTCTCAAAATTAACTGTTTTACCAGCAGAGCAGTGTCTCACCTTGACCACTTTTCCTCCACCTTTTACTGAAGTGCTTTTCTTCCTCTCTCTGTGGTGGAATAGTTCTCATTATTTTCATTATCACACAAGCACATGTTACTGATCTGTGCTTCAGTGAATCTCTCATGTCTTTTTTTATCTAAAGCAGAGAGTGTTTGCTTTAGACCGCATGCTGTGTACAAGTCAGATATATCTAGTGTTAATGTTTAACAGGTCTCTGTCGAGCGGTCTGCGCTGCCGCAGGAGCTGTTATGTCCACCGCTGTGCTTCATGGGTGAGCTTGTTTAGGGGCTTTTAGATCTGGAGTTTCTGTATATGGTGGATTCCTCCTCTGGCTGACTGTAAATCACCCGATAAATGGGTTTAGTACAGTTAGCACCAACGTTTCCTGTGCTTGAGAGGTTTATGTTATGTTAAACGTTTAATTCTCATATTATCTCTTTGTTCTGGGAAAATGTGCTGTTAGTCTGACCAACAAACAAATAAATGAATAAATAAATGGTAACACTTTATTTTGATGGTCTATTTGAGTATTAGTAGACTGTCTGCTTAATATTTGTTGATACTGCTCCTTCAATAGACATTTAACTGACTATAAGAAGCTTTGCAAGTACGTCACCTAACTCTAACCCTAACTCCAAACCTAACCTAACAGTCTATTTATAATCTAGAGAGAATTAGTTGACATGGAGAGTCAGTGTAACTTAAATTCAACAAATGGACCACCAAAATAAAGTGTGACAGATTATTAATATTATTATTGACATTATTTTATTTATTATTAAACTTATCAAACTTATTGTTTTATACATTTTTGAGTTTATTCTCTTGAACACAAAAAGAAGATAATTTGAAGAAAGCTTGAAACCTGTAACCATTGACTTTCATAGTTTTTCCTACTATTGAAGTCAATGGTTAAAGGTTTCTTTAGCTTTCTTCAAAATATCTTCCTTTTGTGTTCAAGAGAAGAAAAAAACACAAAGATTTATATAAAAGCACAAATGACACAAGTTTAATAATAAATAATGTCAATAATAATTATAATAATAAGAAGAATATAATATGTGCCAAATGAGCAATATTAACAGCAAAAAAAAGAGAACTGTTAAACTTATAACCTCCTGAGAGTGAGTAAATCTTCATTCCTCGGTGCTACCCACACATAGATTTTACTTGGGTGGGCCGCTTGGGTCTATTAACGGCTGCCCAAGTATAATTAATGACAAATTATTATCGTACTTTTACACTTTTTTATCTTCGCCCAATATAACCAAACATCCGGGATTAATTAATCTTCTCTCGTTTACCTGTTTTATACTGTTCATTCCGTGTTCGGGACAAATGTCAACACTCCCACAGATAATCTCACATGCTGCAGAGACCCACAGAGACTCACCTTTTTTGGGACTTAAAAAATTAGTCCAGTTTCCAGGCTTTTGCTTTCCAAAGATGTTGTTAATTATATGTGTTTTTTTCGTTACCTTTGTATTTTATCCTACTTTCGATTGGCTTTTCAGCTGCAAGAGCGAGAAAAACATTAAATAATTAGTTATTTAAACTAAATGACTCCAACGACTGAATACATAGCTAGAAGGAGATGAAATGATACCTAAACTGGCTGCTAAATATTTGTACACCGTTATATTTAGTTAATCAACAAATTTGCCTTGTTTTATTCTCATAATTAATGTAATTTTTTGAGATATTGTCGGTTTTATTCCTTTTTTATGTCATTTATTTCTCATTTGCTGTATATTTTATTAGTTTGATGTCAAAATATTACATATTTTATGCCTATCTAAAATGCTTTCGCATTTAAGTTTGCTTTGAACTTGAATGAGAGAGAGAAGCCACTCATTTTACCAGTCAGTGGGTGCCTATGGCTCCTAAATAGCATACAAGTAAAATAAATTAAATTAAATGTTTATTATTTATTTGCATATCAAATTGTTTGTACTTTTGGTAATATGTTGTTGCTTATTTAGGCTTCGGATTATGGGAAGTGTTTCAGGTGGAGTGTGCTGCTTGTTTGATTGTTTGTTTGTTTGTCTTGTCAAGTGTATGTACTTTATAATGTGTTGTACTCTTTTTGATTTGTGAACTTTTAGGGACACCCTCGAAAATGAGATGATTCATCTCAAGGGGCTATCTTATTCAATAAATTCAAATTCAAATTCAAATAGTGGATTTCTTAATTTATTTCAACAGTTTTTTTTAAATTACTTTTAACCCATTGTTAATTGTTTTTACATAAACCCAAAAATAAAAATATTGTTAAAAATCAAATTATGTTCTGATTGTCTCAAATAGTTTACTATTTATGTGATGTGGGTAAAATGTGTGTTTTAATCCGACTACCACCGCAAATATGTTACAAACCTGTTGGAAGCGCTGATTTTTAAATTAAATATAAACACATTTTTTTACATATCCTCATAATGATTTTTATGTAGTTTTGGATATTTTGTTATTGTGTTACACTTTTGGTTGTGAAGTTTAATGAGAATTAGCAACACAATACATTTTTACAGTACATACTGTTTCCTAGTTTCCTAGGGATTTGCTCTTCAGTGTTTGAACTCCCAGCAAATCAAATCAAACCACACTGAATTGAACTAAACTGAACTTTAACTCTAAAAACTGGACTAACACTGTTTCAATCTACTTTAATCTTCTATGTTAAGCTGCTTTGACACAATCTACATTATAAAAGCACTATAAAAATAAACGTGAAATTAATTGAATTGAATAGTATGTACACACTTATGTGTATATACTCCAACTTGAAAGTGTTTGGATGACAAAATTATACTCAAAAGCAAATCTTACCAAAAAAAAAAGCATGTATTGGTAAACAAATAAAATATACATGTTTTCTGTCTAGGAGTTATCTGTGGATTTTATGCTTTTAGATAACTGTGTCGGCTAGGTTTTTACATTACTGTACATCGAAATAGTGCAAAAACTGGAATAAAAAAGTGTAGGGTTAAAGTTTAGTGGACAAAACAGACAATAGAAGACTGGTAGGTCACCACAAAGAAAGCAGTAGAGAATTTTGTGTGTGTGTGTGTGTGTGTGTGTGTGTGTGTGTGTGTGTGTGTGTGTGTGTGTGTGTGTGTGTGTGTGTGTGTGTGTGTGTGTGTGTGTGCAAGTTGAGTGTAGTGTGGCGTTATGAGCAGTGTGAGTCTGGCAGATGTAGCAGATCAAAGTGAGAGTATTTTCAAAGCTCTGGAGCAGAGGTCAGGGGCCCGCTCGCCTTCCTCTTCTCGCACCATGTGGCTTCATCGCTTGCGTGTTTATTCCACCAAAAGTTCATGTCATGCATTTACTGATTCTCATCTTGATTTCTGCTCCTTTTCTTTCTGCCATAACCTCTTGCTTTCTCTGTCTTTCTCAGGCTTGTCCCGTTTCCTTCAGGATCCTGAGCCTCAGATTGTGCCTGTAGGTGGCACAGCCCGCTTTGAGTGCTATGTAGATGGCTTGCCTACCCCGAGTATTACCTGGGAGAAGGACCAGGCACCCCTACCTGCACCCACAGAGTCGCTAGAACCATCCAGGTTAGTTTGATTGTTGATTGTATGTTCACTAAGCAACCACATATAAGCAGGTTGGGTAACCTGCTTTTGCCTTCAAAATGGCCTTAATTCTTCATCTCACAGATTCATTATGGTTTGAGTCTGACATTAGAGCTTTATGCAGATGTCGCACATTTGGCTACAGCATCCATAATGTAAATCTCCTGTTTTAACTCAGCTTAAAAGTGTGCTGTTGGATTGAGATCTTGGGTTCGTGGAGGCCTTTACATTGCAGTGAATTCACTGTCATGCAGAGATGGAAAGTTATGAACTGCAAATACTTCATAACTGCACTTAAGCAGATTTTTCTGGTATCAATACTTTACTCCACTACATATTTTTCTGACAACTTTTTACTTTTACATTTTTACACAAATATCTGTACTTTTTACTCCTTACACTTTAAATCAGGCTTATTACTTTCGTTTAAATGTTTTTTGTGGCATGATCTATATACAGTGCAAACCCGTTGCAATAGCAAACCTGCCCTGTTGTGCTGTTGGATGCCAAAATCCAAAGTCCAAAAATAGAAATTTTGACTTTTACTGTACACCACACTGCTTTCAATGCCAACCGCAGACATCTTTGGCTAACAGCCATCAGAAGAGCTGAATGGAGTAAGGACCTAATTAAAACTGCTGAACTCTGCAGTTCTCATGTAAATCAGGTAAGTTCACACTATGCTGAATCATACACATTACTCATTTTTGATTGCAGCAATGATTTCAGCAAAAACAGTTAAATATGGGTAATGTAATGTAACGTAATGAAATGTAATGTAATGTGTATTTATATAGCACATTTATTGTGTATGGCCATACACCCAAAGCGCTTCACAGTCATGAGGGGGAATCTCTCCACACCACCACCAGTGTGCAGCATCCACTTAGATGATGTGACGGCTGACACAGGACAACGGCGCCAGTGCGCTCACCACACTCCAGCTATTGGTGGAGTGGAGAGACAGTGATAGATCCAATTAAGTGGATGGGGATGATTGGGTGGCCATGATCATAAGGGCTGATAGAGGGACTTTGGCCAGGACACCGGGGTTACACCCCTGCTCTTTCATGAGAAGTGCCATGGGATTTTTAATGACTACAGAGAGTCAGGACCTCGGTTTAACGTCTCATCCGAAAGACGGCGCCCACTGACAGTGTAGTGTCCCCTTCACTTTTACTGGGGCATAAGGACTCACACAGACCACAGGCTGAGCGCTCCCTGCTGGCCTCACTAACACCTCTTCCAACAGCAACCTAGTGTTTCCTAGCGGTCTCCCATCCAGGTACTGACCAGGCTCAGCCCTGCTTAGCTTCAGCTACATGGCTGTAGGCTAATTAAACTGCGGACACAAAATGCTTAGAATACATGCAAAAATGTAAGTTTACATACCCTGCCTAAAGGTGCAGTTCACTGTCAAAATGCAGTTGTTTTGCTTGTTCCTTTTATAGCTCCATCTTTTTTCCTTGTCTTTGGCTAGGCAAAACCTCAATTTTAGCACTACAAAGTTTTGAAACTGGTAATCATGGACCATTATTTCTTGCACATGACCACACAGAACAAAATTATAGCCATCCAAATACTTGTAGGCTTTTAACTTTTTCCTTGTAAAATGACATGGAGTTTCAATAAGAATGAGTTTGGGCAGGATGCTTAGCCATTTCGTCTTATCCAATATCCATTGGGAGGGTGCTATCGCAAACGGACCTGTCAGACAAACGGCACTCACTTTAACGTTAATTCTGTTGAATTTCTATGCTTATCACTGGGTGACAAGCTGTTAGGATACGCTGAAAGATATAATATAGATAATATGCAATCAATATAAGTTATCTGTAATACAACAACAAACTCTGTACTGCATTGAATGTCATTCCTTCACATCCTAAATGTTTACAAACCGGTAATTCGCCTATTATTTCTTGTCATTGGACAATTTGAAAACCTTATTGATTCAGTCAATCTATTCTTTGTCATTGCACGGCTTTTTCAACCTCTGATTGCGCACCTTAAGTAGGCTTGTTTATTAAGCTTACCAGGGGAACAGCTAACATGGATGAGAGAGTGAGTCCGCAATTATTGTCATGTTGACACCAGGTAACAAGATGTGTTTTGGTCGATCAGATCACAGGTAAAACAAGAAACGTAATTCTGTTCAAATCTGGCATTTAAATGGGGTTAAAGTCATTTGTCTACTTCCGACCATGTTACAGTGTACTTCTCTCAATCTATTTCCGCGGGGGAAAAAACAATCACTCATGTGTTTTTTTTATTCAACATTTGTACAGTTTGCAAAAAGTACTAAAGCAATTCAATACCTATGAATATGTTATGAAATGAGATTTATTTCCCTTTGTTTCCAACGAGTTCATACTTCCTAGTACAGAATTGATACTGTTTTATATTTTAACATGTACAATTGAAATCAGAATTATTCACCCCCCTTTGAAAATGTTCTTTCTTTTTAAAATATTTTCTTAAATGATGTTTTACAGAGCAAGGAAATTTTCACAGTATGTCTGATAATATATTTTTTTTTCTGGAGAAAATCTTATTTGTTTTATTTCGGCTATAGAATAGATTTAATTTTTTTAAAAACATTTAAAGGACAAAATTATTAGCCTTTTTAAGCTGCTTTTTATCGATAAAAAATGTGTTTGTGTGTGTGTGTGTGTGTGTGTGTGTGTGTGTGTGTGTGTGCGCGTGTGTGTGTGTGTGTGTGTATGTATGTATGTATGTATATATATATATATATATATATATATATATATATATATTTATATATATATATATATATATATATATATATATATATATATATATATATATATATATATATATATATATATATATATTAATTCCTTTGAAATAAATAGTTTTATTGTGTCAAAATATGATATATGCATATTTTTTTAGATATTTAAATATTGCTGTTGGCTCCATTGCACATATGGACACATTAGCAAATCAAACTAGTTGCTTTTTATAACAATTTTAAAATGCAGTTTTTGAAGCAAATGGAAAAGCAGCTGTTGTAATATGGAATTCATTGGGAACTCATTCGCTGTTGCATCAGCTCACTTGCAATCTAGTCTGTGAGAGTCAGGGGAAACATTGACAGCTGCATAATTTATAATGCTATAGGAGAGTCAAAGCATCAAACAAAAAGTTTTTATGTCAATTTTATTGATAATTTCATTAAAAATGCTGATTTATGGAATCAAATAAAATGAAACTTGTTCTACTGTATTTTCAAAAGTGGATTTCACTGCACAGCAGCAAAAAAAAAAAAAAAAAAAATATAAAATAAAAACTAGGCTCCATTGTAGTGCTGTAACTGAGAGATTTAAACTCTATCCGAACAGATAATGACCTGCGGTTAAGTTGGAAGCAGCCTAGCTCTTCCAATTATGTGCCTTGTCTAGAGAATACTTTCCTTGCGGTGTGTCCAGTGGTGAAAACTCATTAGAAATAGTGTGAGTGTAGTTCTGCCTGGACTCACTGTGTGTCTCCAGGTGAGGAGTTAGTATAACATCTGTTGACCACCTCTCCTGATGACATTATAACTAATAGGACATTTTTCACAACACAATTTATTCAGCAGACTTCACTGAATTAATTTCTTTCTCTGTTCTTCATTGAATAGCTTCAGCATATCTTGTTTTGTGTTCCACAGAGGAAAAACATGAATAAAAGACCACTTGAGCATGAGTAAATGGTGAGGAAATGGAACCTTTTCATTTTGGGTAAAACTTTTATACATGTTTTGCATACATAAATATATTTTTCTCTAATATTTGAGGTCTAAAAACACAAATGAACATTTACTCAAAAAATGTACCATTTAATGGCAAATCCAAAAAATGAATGATAATCTATGAATGATAAGTAGTCGCTTATTTTTCTTCAAGAGCTGTAGGTTACATAATTTATTTATTTTTTTATTTTCTTTAACCTTTATTTAACCAGAAAATTACTCTTTAAGATTAATAGTCTCTTTCATGGAAGTGTCCTGACCAAAATGAGCAGCAAGACAGACTTTACAGACTTTACACATTAGAAAGACTTAAAGCAATTACAAATCATAGAGTCATCCATTTGGTAAGTGATTGACTCAAAAGAGTGATTGATTCAAAGAGTCCAATGGAAGTGAAGTAAAATCTGATGCAACTTGCATTTTATGCTTGCATTTTAAAGGAGTAGTTCACACAAAAATGAACATTTTCAAATTATTTACTTGCCCAAGGCCATGCAGGATGTAAATACCATCCAACTTCCTAACAAATGTACATTGCTGAGGTGAAAAGAGTGTTTGTACAAATTTTATTATATTATTTGTCTGAAAATTCCACATTGTTTTTGCTTCAGAAGACCTATAGTTCTTTTAGTGTCTCGTGGATTACTTTGAAGCCTAAATATGGATTTTAGACCATCAAAAATGATCTACATTGAGAAAAATAGAGTATGTAAAACAGAGAAAAACCATTCATTTCTGCAATTTGTCAACATATAGCAGGAAAGACTGCATGTGAGAGGAGGCTCTGTGTAAAAGAGGCCCAGCAGGGGTCAAAGAGTTGGGCAAGGGCCCCATCAAAGAGCTGGGCATCAGAGGGAGGAGGCAGAGTGCAGGAACTGTTGCATCAAATGAAGTCAGGTCATCGGTTTAAAGTATGTTGTGTCATGTGATAAACGGTGGGCTTACTATAGCAAGGGGCCACCAGATTTCTGTCAACGACTTCAATCACCCCATTTGAAAAAAAAACACTCCAGATTTATTTTGGTTGTTTCAAGATGTTTTTGGTCAGGAAAACCTCCTGTTGGCTATGCAACAGAAGTTTGATCACAGAATACCCTTTGCAGTTGTCTCAGTATGTGCAAAATGATGTTATGGTCTAATGTTTTTTGTGACATTTTGATAATGCATTAGTAAGGTATTTCATATGTGACCTGCTGTATCAATGTATTGTTTTTTCATTATATTT